GATAAAGGGTAGCTCATTTAGGCTCCATGCACTACAACTGGATTTGGAAAGAAGTACCTAAGATTTATGTCCCTCTGCACAATATCCAAATAGGCAGTATTACTTCAGAAACTCCAAAACTTGCTCAGGCCGGGCACTGCTATGTGCACAGTGCATCCTGGAAGGATTTTGACAGGCAACATTTGTCACGTTACCTGCCCTCCCGTGAGTCTAAGTCTGGCACGTGCATAGAAACAAATTAGTTGATGGTCAGACACCTCCATTAGTAGACATCTCTCACCTTCTCCAGGCTTGAGTGCTGGCAGCAACCAGACCAACTGGGCTAATGAAAATTAAAACAAATGTGAGTTGTCTTACATGCAGGATCAAAATGCAAATTGGGTGTTCTATCTCAGTTTGGTATAAAATGAGCTGGACCAAATCCTAAGCATCACCACAGAACTCTCCAGCCCCATCTAGCTGTCTGGATGTGAAGGTACCTGTAAGCCCACCCGGGCTGTGAACTCGGGGTCTGTCACCATACTTGCCTTTTTTCCGATATCCCTGCCATCGCTCTGTGGGAGACCCACTGGCCTGGAGACAAGTTGGCTCTCCTGAGTGTCTTGGTCTGGATGTGCTTGTTTGAAGAAAAGGAGAAAGGATGAAATACGGGACAGAGAAAACCAGTAAGGGATATATGCTGTGCCACAGCGGGGAGACTGGCAGGCCAGAGACAGGTACCTCCTAGCTGCATTGGACTTATACCAAGGAGGAGCATCACCTCTTTAATCAGCAGATTCCTGTTCTCACTAAATGTCACATGTTTAATTTCTTACATGCTGGGGAGAAAAAGAAAGGTGAATTGTACATTTGTCTTCAAGGATAAACTCTCTTCTGGAAAGCAAGCTTACGTTGGGTTTTAGACATAGTGAGTTTAGGTTTTAGACATCTTGATGGGCACAAGGAACTAGGAACGGGGAGAAGTTCTCTGACCTGTGTGACACAGAAGGTCAGACTGGATGATCTGACAGTCCCTTGTGGCCCCAGGCTCTATCAGTCCATGAAGCAGTCACCTTTTATTTCAGTAGTGTTTTAGTCAGTTAACTTAGCTCATTTAACAATATTTTCTTGGTACCTATGTGACTCACTGATAGTGCGTACTTGAGAAAGCATCCATTATTTGCAAAGCCTGGCTTGCTTTTTCATTTCAGCAGAATGTGAAGCTGAAAACAGATGATTGATGGCTTTTTGTGTTTATTTTCTAAAAGATGTCAAGCAGCATATTTACTGACTCAACTCCTGCTGCAGCTTGTTAGTTTGAGCAGTGTAAACACATCTTAACAACCCTTAGTAATTGTGGGGAGAAAGACATCATGAACATAATGAAAACTGACAGCACTGATTTCCATTCCTGTAATTTTTTTACGCTTATAAAGACAAGCACAGTATTTTGCTCAGATGTTTTGGAGGTTCCAAAACTTCCAGATAACAATTTATTGGTACTCATATTTCAAATATACGACTTGTTTGGTAAAAAAAAAAAAAGTTAATATTTAGTCCTTTTTAGCTCAAATTACTTGATAGCCCCTTGTTTATACACCCGTGTAAATGGTAGTTATCCATAACATATTCATTAGATTTTGGAAAGTGAAAGGTCCTTACTTACAGAGGGAAAAAAGACTAGCTGATTTGGTAACTTACAGATGGAAAAAGGAAGCTTTAGACAAAGCCTAAGCAAAATATGGGGAAGCGTATACCGTCCAAATGAAATTGCATGTATTTATTTATTCTGTGAATAAGTAAACAACAACAAAATTAGAGAGATTTGTCCAAGGATGCAGAGTGAGGGCAATTCTCTGCCACCTTTTCTCATCAATAAATCTTATAGGAAAATAATTATTTTTGAAATATTGTCGAAAGCTGTATGAAGCATCAAGAGTAGTTGGCATGTTTTTTGCAAGTAATAAAGAGTTTTGGAGTAAACCAGTAAATAGTAAATAACATGGGGAATTTCATGCAAACTTGAAACTGGAATTCGTTAAGCTTAATCTGTCCCACATTTTTAGTCATTCAGAAACTTGCCATTATCACCTCAAAAGGAAATGTACAGGTTTTGTCCTCTTTTTCCTCCTAAACACAGTAATCCTATTGGAAAAAACTATTCCTGAACATTAGTCCCCAATGACTGAAATCCTTGCAATGTCTGGGTTAAATAATTTATCATGACTATTTATTTTTATGCCAGCATCGTTCCTGATCATAAGCAGGTCTTCTCCTTCCCAACTTGTTCCACATTGCCTGTGTGGGAACACTTCTGAGCCCCTCTTTCATCCTTCATTTCATTAGGCTTATTATGCCTTACAAAAAAAAAAAAAAAAAAAACCAAATAAATAAGTGCATACACACACACACAAAAAAAAAAAAATCAGACACTCCATTTCTGATCAAAATTCATCACTCCAGCACAGATGACCAGAACTGCATTTCCTCAGTGCCTTGCTCAATGGAATTAATACTTCCCTGAGACCATGTTTCTCTTCATCATGATCTCATCACAGTGGTAGTTCAAGATAATCTCACAGTTAGCTAGTTAATCTATGGTCTTTCTCCTGCTTTCCCTACTGATAATGATGTCTGTTCAATAGCCGTTTGTAGGCTATCTTGAGCTTATTCCAGGTGTGGAATAAGTGAACTTACTCCAATGCAAAAATGCAAGATCAGATTCAATATAATTATTGGAATTACTTTCTTACTAATTTAGAGAAGCCCTTCTAGGATATAATTTTTTAATAGTTTACAGCTTATTTAGTTTCATTGGGAATGAATGCAATTATGAATGCAATTATTTTGTTTACTTGGTTAGTGGTAAGATCTATGAAGATCAGGCTGAACTTGTAATAAAATGAGTTGTTTATGCTGAAATCAGATGTGGCAGTCATACTCTGTATTAATATCACTGGTTTTTTCCTCAGACTCATTAACATCAGTGATACTGGTAGTGATGTATCAGCTGTATGAAAAGTACTTGCTGTATCTTCAGGGAGGGGAGGACACTGACCATTAGAGGAAACAGCAGTTTCAGGACAGGATAAGCGTAGAAAGTCTGAATCCAGTAGTAGTCTTTATACTATAACCTAAATAATAGGGGGTGGATCATTCCTTTCTAATCTCACCTGACATAATACATTAGTATAGTTGTGGTTATATTCATATAATTGTCTTACAGTATCAAATTTGCAAATTCAGAACAGTATTAATAACTGTGATCTTGACATTGTGAATGTAGTTTTGTGTCCTGGTGTGTGTTTTGTGTTTGGTCCATGTTCATGCAATATCCCTTTCTTGAGTTAGATTGTGGGTTTAGAAATCGTATTATTTCAACATGTCTGCTTATGTGGTCTATTTTAATAAGATTTGGGAAAAAAAGAAAAAAAAAAGATGTTTCAGGAATTAATTTGCCTGCTTTGTTTTTTGCATGAAAACAACATGGTTTTGTAGTCACCTTTAAGTAGATGTTTTTTGGAGCTTCTAATGTAGTGTTTCTTCAAAAATTGCATTAAAGGTATATATTTCATCAAGGTACTGTGCATCCGTGTGTTAGTACTGAAGAACTGGACAAGGTCACCTGCCTTTAAGATGTCTGAAAAGTTGTTTTGACTTGCCAGAAATGTTAACTGTTAAAAATATTTAGTGCATGCAGTTTGGTATTCTTACTGACACCAAGGAGAGTATGTTAGTTTTTTAATTAATCTGCTAATGTTCTATGTCATGATGAATGCATAAAGTGGGAAAGAAATGCCAGCAGAATTTTCTGCATATGAAGGTGTGTATTCATGTGATTTGCTATTCATGTGATCTATGAGCATGCACAGAAAATGAGAAAATAAGATTCCTGAGACCCTCACTCACCTTATGTTACCACCTTCATAAGCCCTCTGCAAACCTGGTTAATGTGACCATCCTTTACTTATGATTATATTTTACAACATCATTTCCATCCCATGGTTTACGCTTAGGAACAAGAGTTTTGGTAACTAAACAAGCTCAGGTAGCTAGTACTGAACTTTTATTCCTAATGATAAAAATTATGTAGCTGGACAAATTACTTTCACTGATTACAATATGATTGTAAAAAATTGCAATTCGTCTCTTCCCTTATCTCCCATGACTCTTCCTGGGATCTAGTCCTATGATTTGTTTTTAATTGAAAACTAAACTGAGTTTAATTGCCCTGTAAGAATTTTAGTTACATTTGTTTAATCTTTGTTGTTCACTTTCTTTTTGAAGTCAACTCTGTAGAATGAGTAATCCTCACGTCATTTGTGACTTTTGCATTTGTCCTTTTTTTATGTGGATTTTTTTGTTTCAATTTTGTTATAACATCTTTATTTCATAGTGCTACTTTTCACTATGGTACCTAAAAGAATGCAGATTCACTCTTACTGCTGAACAGCAGGTAGAAAATCAGTTGTTTGACTAATTAGTTATTAGAAAATAGTTATTTGAATAATTATTGTGGTTTGTACTTTTCTTACTTTTAAATACGCCTAAAATGTAGTGTCTTATTTAGATGAAACATTTGGAATTTTTGACTACTGCAAAATGCACAAATCTTACTGATGACAGTGAGTCATCTAGCAAGAACAGCATCACAATACAATAACAAAAGAGGTTTCTACTGCCTACTGTCTTTGTGTGTCTGACCTTGAAGAGAATTAGAACTTGCTTGTTGCAGAAGTTGAGCATCTAATACAATAATATACCTCTTAGTTTTTGCATATTAAATCAGATAATGTTTATAAAGATCAGTGATTCTTTTGTGAATTAAATATTTTCTCTTTCTGGTGATCTGGACATTCAGCTGCTTTTACTTGCATTAGATGATTAACATGTGAAATTGCTTATACTTAGAAATGTTGTAACTTTACACCATTCGCATTCCTTTCTGACATCATTTTCTCTTACTGTTGAATCTTACTTGTAACTAAAGCAATTTTGGTTTGCATTTTATATTTATATAGAGACCATGAACCAAGCAACACCTGCTAGAAAACTGGAAGAGGTTCTTCACCTTGCAGAACTCTGTATCGAAGTATTGCAGCAAAATGAAGAACATCATTCAGAGGTAAGGCCATAACTGCATTTGCTGTAGAGAATGGTTTGTTCTGAGATTTTTTCCCCCCTGATGCGAAGCAATTCTGTCAAGAAACATTTTAGCTTTATTTTCTGACATATGTTTAAGGCAGTTCACATTTACAGAGGAATAAGAGACTTGAAGCTTATGAAAAGTGAAGTGAAATAAAACTCTACTTGAATTCGCTTCAATGAACTGTAGGTTTAGAAATGAAAATTAAAGAGCATAAAATAGAGAAAGCATCTTTGTGCTGGAGGTGGTGAAATGGTACGGAAAACATTCTGTATACAGTTGTTCCTTCCAACTTTTCACCTCTCATTCAAAATAGAAAGAAAATATAACTGAATGCTAGTTTTCATCATGCTGTATTTTGATTTTAACGTAAAAATAATGACGGGTATAATAATCACATTCACATTGCTCTTCTGTTGATTGGAAAAGTACTGTTTTTACACTTGTGCTTTTTAAAATGTCATTATAAGGGTGAAAAAATAAAATACACCAATTTCATGCTTCTTACTCTCAAGTCTTTTGCTTCATGATACAGAAACCATAATATTTACAATATTTAGAATTATAGCACCTTTTATATCAAGGAATTACAAAAATAAACTTGACCAGGTACACACAATTGTATATATTATTAATATTTAATTAATAAATACAGTTTTCTAAGGTTCAGGAAATCATTTTTAAAATGTTCTCAAAAAACTTGATAAATATTTTTTGGGAAAATATGCAAAGGGATGAACATGATTTAGTATATATGGTTTTTAATATGATCATTCAAAACATCTGGTTTTATATCACACTATGGAATCTAGTTTTCAGCTTACATCTGTCATGTGTGAACTTGTTATAGATGTTTTATCTTATACTGAAGAAACAGCTGTTTCGATGATTTGAAACTAATTCCCTGGAGGTCCTGTTCTACACTACTATTGCCACTGTGTTACTCTGTAATGATTACTTAATAAAATGTATATATTGTTGTCTTTGTCTTTTGAGGACCTGCATTACTGTAAGGATATTAGACTTCTGTGGGAAAGAACACAGAAGAAACAGATCAAATGATACATGTATGATTAAGCATCTCTGTGCAAAGATTACTTTCCGTACTACTTATTTGCAGTCAGTGATGTGTTATTTCTCAGAATGGTAAATATATTGCATGTGCCTTCAGAAAAATCAATTCAGCAAAAGTTTTCAATCTTATCTGAGACAGCTTGAAAAGAATAAAGATAATTTTAAGATTATTTTCCTCTTCATTCATGTAATAAATGTTCAATTTTACTGAAATTTATAGAGCATGCAGAATTTCAATATTAAAATATATCTGAGGACAAGATCACAAAATTATACATTCCCTGTTAAAAAAACTGAAGCTTAAGTACGGTGACTTCACATCATAATGTTAAGTAAATGTTCAGTGTTTGATGGTGCAGTTGATGAAAAGGATCAATAATCTCTAAATTAGTACATCACATTTTTTGATACTAGATTTTTTTTTTTTTTTTTAATTCATAACGCTTCCAAATTTCTGGAATTCCCAAAGGGAAGAGAGGTATGTGATTCCTGATGAACTAAGCGTTATTTTTCACAGTTTATAGCATGGAACTGTGTACTGAATGTGTAGCATAAATTGTTCTGATGATTTCTGGTGTTGTCTTGCCACATTTGTGTGTCTTTCTGGAATCTAAGAACTTCAGTCTTCCTTTAATCTGGTCAATGTTTTTGTTCTCTCAGAATGCGTGTCACCAATTGCTAATTGCCTTTAGCCTTTTTTCAAATTTTCCATAGTGACTGAACATCTATCTTAGCTGTAGCATTTCTTTTCCTATTCTTCTTCCTTGCTGCCTAAGCAATGATGGGTAGTTCTTGAGAGGGTCAGAAGAATTTCTTTCTGGGTTCAAAGTGTCATTTGCAAAGGGGAAAAAGATGGAAAGAAAATGTACTGGGTTTCTGGTTTTGGTTTTGCTTGTTTTGAGTTTTTGGCAATGTTTTCTGAAAAGAGTTTCACTTGCCTAGAAGGGACACCTGGCAATGCCTGTATACATTTGGTTTCCTCTTTCTTTATTTCTTTGCATTTAGTTATTTTCTAAGGTAAGGAGTCTGTTCCTTTAATAAGCTCCTATTTAAACAGAATTTATTAATGAGAAACTTCTTCCAGTTTGAGGAAGAAGACTCCATTCCAAACTCTTGCCAAAATTTTTGAAACCTCATCTGTCCTTTTCACTGTGGTGCCCATCAACATCCTTCTATCCTGACACTGCAACACACAAAGTACTTACCAGTAATAGCAGAGGATGCTTAGCGTTTCTTTAAAACCTCTTGCCAATTCATCTTTTCTCTATTTGCCCCACATCAAAAAGAATTACAGGCAGTCATCAGAAAGTGCAGGATGCAAAAAAATATTTGTACACCACTTTTCAGAAGTTGTGTTTTATTTGATGCCTTTCAGGCCTGGGTACATAATTCTATATTACCTAGGATCTGTGTTTCATAATTCTATATTACCTAGGATCTGCAAGTGAGGATTTCTCTGACTTTATTTGAAGTTGTGGGAACTCAGCACTTGTATAGATCAAGCTACATATGTCCCATGCCGGTAACTCAAAAATATTCAAAATGAGATACTCAAAATGAGGGGCTTAAGTTTGAAAGAATTTTCTTATATCTAGTATGTATAGGTATTTCTGACTGTCAGATATTTTTGTTAACTCTGAGCAAAACCCTCTCAGCGGTGTGTGATAATCATCCTGTTTCAGAAGCTCACTTCACCTTCAACTCCAGGATCATACAGCTCCCTCTGATCCAATACTCAGCTTCAATACTGACCTTTCAAGGCCTAGATTTAAGTGACAGTAAAAAGGTACAAGAGTTATACATGAAGCAGTCTCTAATGTAGAGCTGGCTTTACTTGCTGAAACACTACTTTTCATAGATCTCTTCTTTTAAGCTAGGTTTACCTAAGAATCTGAATTTTTACCAAAGAAAACTGTGTATTCCAACATGTTGTTAAATTACTGAAAATTAATATAGACATTAGTGAATTTCTAAAGATGTATTTATAGCATTTGTGGAAGGAAAACTGGATGCCTTCCTCAGGAGAAGCTGGCATCGTTAAGGGAAAAATAGGAATTAAAATGTGGTCTGTATCTATTAAAAAAACCCCTTAGACTTCAAGGAAGAAAATGTCACACTAAAACCATCCCTTCTGATTAAGAAATGACTGCAAAATGTATTCACAAGAAGTTATTTGAAAAATAATTTAATCTGATTACTTACAGCCTTAGAATTGATGAAATCAAAAGAAGCGTATGCAGTAATTTTTCAAGGATGAGGCCTTCATTGTTTTCTTTGCTCTCTGGCAAAAAAAGAGTTGCAGAGATTTATACTCTTTTTTTTATTTTTTGAGTTACATTTTTGTTCAGATTATATCATCTTTCCCAGCATAATCTATTTGATATCTTACATTTTTGATGCAAGATTTTATAAAATATTTTCACTTTTCACTTTGCCTGTTCATTCTCCCCAAACGAGATAGGACATGAAGTGACATATCCAAATGTATTTTGCAATAGACACAACACATCTCTTTACTTTATGACTCGTGTTTAGTAATTCTATTTTGTCATGTTTGCAGGCGTTCGCTTGGTGGCCAGAATTATTGGCTGAGCATGCAGAGAAGTTTTTGTCTCTGTATTCTGTTGATATGGATTCAGCACTGGAGGCACAGCCGCAGGACTCCTGGGACAGCTTCCCACTTTTCCAGCTGCTGAATAACGCCCTCAGAAATGACAGTAAGATCTTAAGTTTTTTACTTAGTGTGTGCATAAGATTTTTCAATATGTGCACACCTTAGAAATGTGTTTCTAAATAATATAATTCTCAAAATAAAAGTGACAATGCCTGTGTTTATGATATATATCCTGGTGCTCCATTTCTTGGCAGTTGAGAAGTTTTTCTCTCTCCTTGCACCATTTCAGTCTTTATTCTGGCAATCCCTTAATGATTCAGTATTCACAGATTGCTCAGGTTTAAATCAGTGATGTACAAGCAGCATAATATGTATTTGATATTTCATATTTAATCTATACTGCTTGAATAAAATTGTAGTTAATATTCCCTGCTAAGCCTTCATATAAACTATGTTCAGACTAGTTATGTCTACAAAGGTATTGTAGGCGTAGCATGAATGGAGTAAGATACGCACAACAAATCAG